AAAAAGAAGAGGCTTAGTCATAGGCTACAAGAGTCAGGATTCTTGAAGATATTAATGAGATTTTACAGTGAGCTCAAACTAATGGGAAATACTTTGATAGATATAAAAGAAATCCCAATTGGACAGTACCAAGTGGAGAAATCATGGGAAATAGTCAAGAACAGCATTTCCCATAATGCCCAGCAGGGCATTAATGCCTCTGAGTGTTCAGAGTACTTACAAGTTTAAAAAGGCTAAAGGTCTTGGAATGATTGAATAATAAGTGAGGGAGTCCTGAGATCAAAGTGTAGTGTATTTCTTCACTGACCATCTTCTCAGCTTTAATATGCTAGCATGCATTAAGAATTTTAAGAGGTGGATATAATGTGCAGTGTTTCCTTAATTAACTTGATCATCTTCTCATGAAATATTTTGCTTGATGATTAATCTGCTGAACACTCTGGAAAACCCTACCCAGAGATTTTAGTTGAGTAGAAAGAAACCTTATATGAACCTATAGTCTAGAACAAATAAAAATAATCCACTGTTCTGTTCAGAGAAATGGAAGTGCCATTCCCAGCAGATCATATTTGGTGAGTAGTTTGCTAAAGGACAGAGACACAGTGAGTCATACCGTACGAAGAAAAATTAAAAAGCAACAGGGATGAAGATGCATAGATAAACATGACATTTCTGGTTAAATATTAAAGGGGCTATGTGAAGACTGAGAACTTTTGGGCTTCTGGACAGGTAGATAATGATAATCATAGCAAATATTCTTGCTATGTGCCAGACACTGTACAGGTGCCTTTCATTTGTTAACTCATGCAATCTTAAACAACTCCATGAGGTAGACACTGTTAGTATTTCTATTTCCCAACAGAGAGAAATTAAGACACAGAGATGAAGTTATTTTCCCAAGGTCAAGGTCATGTAGCCAGTGAGTAGCAAGCAGAGGTTGGAACCCCAGTGGTTTACCTCTGGAGCTTTGCCCCACTCTGTCTGTGCTTGCTCAGTGTGATCTCAGCTCAGTGTGATGAAGCACTTTGGATAGGGCCCTTTATACCTATTCGTTTTCAGGATCATCTTTCAAGGATATTTGCTATCTTACCTGAGTGGTATTTACATAGTGATTGTAAGAACAGCATTAGATAAGAGTTTGGATAAATCAGTACTGAAGGCCTTCTAACTTTGGTTCCATTCCAAAAAGAATGAATGGACTTGCATGGTCCCTTTCATCTTTATGTTCTGTAATTCCTTTTTCTATAGCATTTGCACAAATTACCTCTGTGATGCCACTCTGCATACAGAAGAGTGCTCAACATGTACTTTTGATCAGCAGTTTGACTTGACACTATTTTGCAGCTAGGAAATGCAAGATTAAACAGCTCATTAAAATGTTGTTACGTTTAACATTAAGGGTAATGGCTGAGCGGGGTTGTGAAGCAAGTGTCTTGACAATCCAAACCTTCCTGTCTTTTTGCCTGAAATATGGATAGATCTTTTTTTAGCAAACCATATTCCAAGGAAGTGACATGAGTTTACAGTTGAAATACTGTGACACTAAGGATTTCGTGTCATATATTCAGTTAAAATTAGTCTTGGAATACACACTACCCCTGGGTTCTTGGAAATGAGAGACTATCTATGGAGAAGACACATTTATTTATTCCATGTTCAAAGAATCTCTAGACAATATCTTTAAGGTCACATAGTGTATAGTTTTACAGAAGATTAAACAGTTAAACACACAAAAATCAGGATAAGTAAGAACCAGGAGAAATAACAGAATACAGAAGCAGACGCATAAAGGAATTAAACAGAATGGTGGTTTGTTTTTTATTTATTTGTGATACTGGAAATTGAAATTCAGGATCCCCTGAGCTACATCCTTCTAATCCTTTTTTAATTTTTTTTGAAGCAGGGTCTTGTTAAGTTGCCTAGTCTGTCATCTTCCTGCCTCAGCATCCCAAGAAGCTGCAATTATAGCCGTGCCCTGCTATGTCTTACCAACAGAGACTATTTTTTACACTGTATTTATAATATTAAAGTAATAAAAGACTATTGAAACATATCTACTTGAAACTACAAACTTTAGAAATGACTTTTAAAATTAGTATATAGAATATCGAGATGATAAGATATACACTAACTACAGCTGGAGGTCTAGCTTAATGATAGAATGCTTACCTAGCATACTTAACACCTTGGGTTTCATCACTAGTAATGTAAAAGAAGAAAAGAAGAATATACACAGTAACTATTTTAGTCACTTTCTCATAGCTAAGACAAAACATGCTCTACTCACAATTTAAAGATAGAGAAGTTTATCTGGACTCACAGGTTTCACAGGGTTTATCCCAGGGTCAGCTGGTTCATCATGGCGGAGGAGTATGGGAGAGGAAAGGTGTTTGTCTCTTGGTGACCAGCAGCAGAGAGGGAGCTGGAGGAGCCACTAAGACCATTGCTATATCCTGCAAAAGCACATCCCCAGGGACCAACTACTCTATCTGTGCCCCACCTCTTAACAGCATATTCAACTGTGTACTTGGCAATGGATTAATCCACAATAAATAGTGCCCCCATGATTCAGTTGCCTTCTACAGGTTCTACCTCTGAACACATGAGACTTTGGGGGATATTTTAGATATAATCCATAATAAGAACTAAAATTTTAAACTCTGCAGGGGTATAGAAGATTGGATGTAGCTGAGAAGAGAAATGGATACCAACCCACACAATAGGGCAGAAGGAATTACTAGGAATGTGTATCCAACAGGATTTTTATAAAAAGGGGAATGGTAGAGAATTTCTGTTCAGAGAAATGGAGATTGAGAAAGTCTTAACATTGTCTGACAGCGTGTGTAAGCAGAATTGAGAAAGAATAAAGGAGTGCTGTTTGTTGAGATTCTGACTGAAAAGATTCCAGAAATTGGTTACAGATTTAGGAACCTGCTTCAAGAAGCCCAGTGAACCTTAAGCAATATAAATACAACTGTAAAAAACACAGCCCAAGACAAAGGAGCAGTAATCTACTTTGCTACTAACTTTTCAACAGTGGCAATAGGGAAAGTAAGATAAAAGTGGAATATTTCATTATGCTAAAATAAAATGAAATGAAAACAAGGAAGACCCCAAAGTCTCTGCTACTTAAAATGCTTACCCAATGAAGATACCTATCAAAAATAGGAATTTTTAGAAAGTAGTATTTTCAGACAAACACAACTTGAAGAATATGCCACCTGTGGACAATCACTGAAGGAAATTCTCAGGGATATTATTATGGTTTGTGTCTGTGTGGTCCCTCAAAGCCTCATGAGGTCATGTGGAGTGGGCTTTTCAGGGGCAGCTGAATCTGCTTGTGACTGATTCAAGGTCTAGTGCTGAGATAAAGGTTGTGAGTGCTACACCTGCCCTATGGTGGGTAGCCTGCATACAGCATCAGGGACGGAAAGAGGCTTACCCCCTCTCTCTCTTCAGATGTTGCTATTACTGTTTTTCCACCATGATTTGTTGCCCCTCTGCCATGTGCCATCCTGCCTTGGAGCCAGCCAATTATGGCCTGAAACCTACAAACTTTGAGCTAAATCAATCTTTTCCCGTTTAACTTTGAGTGTATTTTTTGTCATCAACAAGAGAAAAATAAGATAGTTATGTTTCAGATAAAATTCATCCAGAGAGAAGATTTGATATTAAAGAAATAATAACCATGTGTGCATGCTTGTAATAATGTCAGATACTCAGGAGACTGAGGCAGGAGGATCAAAAGTTTGCTCTCAGCCTGGGCAAGTTCAGCAAAACCTGTCTCAAACATAAATAAAAAGGGCTAAGGATGTAGGTCAATGGTATACACAATATTATGGATTCAATCAATCCTCAGTACCACTGAGGGAAACAGGGTACTACATGAGTCTATCTAACATATAAAATTAAAACAATCTTGTAAGGATTTTAAAAAGACAATTAAATGCTTGGCTACAATAACTTGTAAGCCAAGTGATAGATTTTTGAGAGGCATAATACTACGGATTAAACTCAGGGCCTTTGCACTGAACTATATTCTCCAGCCTTTTAAATTGTTTTATTTTATTCAATTGTCTGTTGGCAACATTGATACTACATTTGGAACCTCGTTGCCTAGTGCTGTTACCCTCATGTTACCCTATTGTTTTCCTAGTTTCCTTTTTCTTTGGGAATCTAAATTTCATAAATACTATTCATTCTCAATATGACAGTGGCCTGAGAATGTACAGAGTGGGCTGGAATCGGAATCCTGCCTCAGTCTCTCAGAGTACAGTAGTACAGTCATGTGCCACCACACGGCAATAAATATATTTTGACAGTCAGAGGATTGTACTGTTGGGAATGAATGGTATTTATGAAATTCGAACTTTGAAAGAAAGAGAATAGAAAAGCAATAGGGCACCATGATAACAACACTAGGCCATGAGTTTCCAGTAGTATCAACCTTGCCAACCGTTAGTGGAATGACCTTTGAAAAGCTACTTCTGTGATCTACGTCTCAGTGTTCTTATCTGTAAAGTATGAGACGTTAGAAGTAGATGAAATTTTACAACTCCTGATTATAATTCTATGAGGACTGGATCCTATAGGGAAAAAATCAATAGCTTCTGAGTTGCATCCTCCATTCCTTTGAAATTTTATCAATAAACACCTACATTTTACTTCTGGCTGTTAGGTCTCTGAAAAAATTGGATCCAGGGAGTCTGAAGTATGCATTTTACTTTACACTTCCTGTTCTGTTTCGTTTTTTGTCATCTAGTAGCCAGGAAGAGTAATAGCAGTTTACCAACATCAAAGCAATAGGGGTCTCTGGTAGATGTTAGGATGGATTTACAAAAACAAGCTGTGAAAAGCAGACTTCATTGTGCAACTATTATCTCTCTCCCCCTCCCTTTCTCCCTCTCTCCCTCCTTTCTTACCTAAATGAACTTATATGAGTCTTTCACTTTCTCACCTTTTCTCTTTGTCCTTTTTTGTTCTCCTGCCTACCATTCCAGGCTAATAATAAGCCCGAGATTGAAGCAGCCCTCTTCCTGGACTGGATGAGACTGGAGCCCCAGTCCATGGTGTGGCTGCCTGTCCTACACAGAGTGGCTGCTGCAGAAACTGCCAAGCACCAGGCCAAGTGTAACATCTGCAAGGAGTGCCCAATCATTGGATTCAGGTATTTGGAATATGGCTCACCTTTTTATGACTCCATCTTTGATGTCCTGTGCCAGTGCATGTTTGCTCCTCTTGCAAGAGGAGTTTGTTCCTCTTGCAAGTAGTCAAGATGGTGATGAAGCTGGAACACTGATTGCCTCTGTCTCTTTTGGATCACTGGGTTATTTTGTTGGACCTGACCCATTCAGCAGATGTCCTTTTCCATTTTCACTCTGTAGCTCTAAAATCCACATTTTTGGTGGAGTAGGACTGAGTACTGATCTCCACAGAGATACTTGTGTGTCAAGGGCCTCCAGATGAGTTGTACCTCCTCTTTCCTAGAACTAGAACATTTTATCCTCTCTTTTTGGATTGATCATACGTCTTTTTTCTGGAACTACAACATTCTCGCTCTCTTTTTTTCCAATGGTCTTTTCTGTTTAGAGAAACCTCTCCAAGCATTGCTAATGAAACTAAGAGATGGTTCTATTCTGGGAGGTACCATTATGGTAGCTCAGTCTCTTCCTTGGCAGTATTTCTTGCCTTAAGTAACAAGAATTGTTTTAAGCATCCTAGAACTTATTTATCTTTGAGTCTGATTATTTTCTTTGCGTAGTATCCTATTGGACTTCTAAAGGAATAAAAATTATGCAAGGAAAATCAAAGATTTACAAAGCAGCTTTAAAAACATCCCTTAATTTGAGGTGAAGAAGATAGGAAACATAGCAGGTTATCATTCTGATATTTTTTAAATGTTGTAGAAAATAATTGATTTTTAAGTCTTTAGCCTTGTTGACCTGTCTAGGAAAACAGGGTATTATTAAAGAACTAATCTTATTTAACAGTAATCCTAAATCCTAATTCAGAAAGGATGATGTATTTGAAGACCTGGATCAACATCTAAGTTTCTATAGTGATGGATAAGTTAGAGAGCTATAAGCTAGCTATATAGTCTGTACCTGCTCAGAATCCATTTAGCAGCTAAATAAACATTCTTTTCTACTTATGCTTAGACTTGTTTTGTTACTTTATTTCTGAGTAACCACCTGCTACCATTTTTGAATTTTTATTCATGGTGTATATCCTTCCATTTTTCATGCTGTTTACAAAACCCTTACGAGGTTTCTAAAGCGTAGCTAGACAGCAGTGAGCAGGCAATGCTTGCAAACTATGCGTTGATTCCATCCTGGTTTTGGCAGGTATAAATGATGCCATGAGGAGTGGGGAAGGGAGGGAAGGTCACAGGTTATTGCTTTACATTTCTTACCTTTCATTCTCAGCTTCTGTAGCTGGTGGAATTTGTAGATCACAGAGGAGAATTTTATAAAATAGAACAGAAGAAGGATCTGGGTAATCTAAAAGAGCCTTTTGACCTCGAATTCTTTTTCCCTTTATCAAATTAGATTATTTTAAGAATCAGCATTTCCATCTCTTCCCTACCCCCTCTGGAAAGATGGTTCAGATCCAAAACCAGGCAGGTTTTCTTCCTACTTTCCCATATGTGACATAAGGAATATGTTTATTTGAATTGGCTGAAGTTCTTATCTCAGAAAGAAAAAGACAAGAGTCTGAAACAAAGAATATAGTACTCTGAGAATGGAGGGAAATGTACCACTCTGTATTTATAGATTAGAAATTCTTCCATTGAATCTAAATGTTTTTCCCATGAGGTTGCATCTGTTGTTTGTGAGTAATACGGTGAGTTATTTCTTTTTTTTTTCCTTTAGTTTTTGAGGTGAGGTCTCTCTGTGTAGTACAGACTTAGCTTGAACTCCCTAATTAGACCAGGTAAACCTTGAACTCTCAATCCCCCTGATTCAGCCTCCTGAGTGCTAGGATTACAGGTATGCACCACCACATTAGCTGAAGATGGATTTCTGAAGAAAGAGAGATTGAAAGAGATCATACAAGTAACTATTTGAAAAAGACTCATGTCAGCCATCAGAAACCAAAATTAAAGCAAGACTTGTTTTAACTGGAGTTCTTATTTATGTTTCTTTTGTCTTATGAGATAGCTTTATCTACATAATTTTTGAAACTAATTGTTTCAGAAAAGATTGGTAGGGGCATGGGATGCTTTTTTTCTGGAAGTTCTTTTCAGATTTGAATATTTGGTCTTTAGAAGACTGAAAGCTTGCCAGTACTTTCCCATTTAATCTGAAGGAACTCCAGGTGGAGTTTCACTAAGAGCTCAGTTTTTCTTCCCTTCTTCCATATGTTTGTAGGATAATCTTTTGCCAAAATGTTTTGATACAGTAGAAGAGGCTCCAGAGAAATCTGGAGGTAGGAAGTTAATCACTTGCCTTCTGGGGCTAATGAACGTTGAATTTTGTTTCTCGAATTAAGACAGTGTGGTGGAAGATTTATTAAAGAGTTTCTTTGGGAATTTGATTGTAAGAAATACATGTGTTTGTTTTTGTTTTTTACTAGGTACAGGAGTCTAAAGCACTTTAATTATGACATCTGCCAAAGCTGCTTCTTTTCTGGTCGAGTTGCAAAAGGACATAAAATGCACTATCCCATGGTAGAATATTGCACTCCGGTAAGTTAGATGCCTCCCTGAAGGGAGTTAGTTCCCCTGAGATGAACTTCCCATTTTGTGTAGTGTTGCAGGTTATGGTCAGTGCTGTGATTTATAAGTTCCCACATGTTCCCCAGCTACAGTGACTCAATTACACTATGGATGGTGCCACAGAGAGCTCAAAGTACACGTAGAACATCATAGACATTCAGTGAATATGGTTGACTGAGTGGGATTTTCTGCATTTCCCCTATATAAGACCCAGAAAATAAGCCCTAGCTTGCTGTTACCATGGTGATGGATACTGTCATACAGAAGATTGTGAATCACTCTTCTCTTGCTTGGTGGCTACCCTGTAGTGGTATGTAAGATAAAGGATAGGCTGATCAAGGCTGGCATTTTTGTTCACACTCATAAAAACAGGAGCAAACAATCAAGAAAAAGCAAAACAGAACAAAACAAGAAAATAAGAAAGCAGATGTCTGCTTCATGGCATGTCTCTGCAATCACTGGTAGACAAAGTGGGCAGATAAGAGTCTGAACCTGTGTTGATTAATCCCAGTAAGCCAGATGTAGCTTTATGTTAGGGTAGTGGATAATCCCAGCAAGTCTGTATGTTTAGTTGTGCTGAAGTTCAGGCTGATTTCTAGCTATGACACTGAAACCTGATTTGTTCACCCTGCAATGCTCTGTGTGCCTCCTGCAGGCTTGAACTCAGCTCCTTGCTGGCTTGAATTCAGGTGTTTGACCTCCTGCTGACTTGAACTCAGGAGCCTCACCCTGACCCTGGTTGAGTTCAGTTGGCCATAGATGGCTACCAGCCAATCACCCTCTTTTGGGGGATGTCTGAACCTGGATAACTTACCAGTCATTATAGGGCACTCCATCCACTGTTTTGTTCCACCGTGCCTTTCTCCTCAGACTGACATTTGTGATCTCTACTTTTCAAGGCTGATTATTTTCCAGTTAGGTCTTTTTTGGGGAAGCATCATTCTCCTCTTGGGAGTGCTGTGGGGCAGACAGTTCATCTTTCTTTTTCACAGCCCTGGAGGTTATGTGATCATTGTGCATGTTGAATGGAGGAGGTGCATGTGGGTTGCTCAAAACCTTTAACCTATCACCTCTACTGAGTGGTCCTTTCCTTTTATCTCTGTACCATACTAACGCTAACACTTTACAAATCTTCATGTATCAGTACTGACCAACTCACTTAAATTATAGATATTCACATTTTATACTGCTTTGTGTGAAATAGGTATTATTATTTTATCTTATTTTTCAGATTAGGGCTGTATAGTCCTAAAGTTAAAGAATTTTCCCGGTTTTTGTTTTTTTTTTTTTTTTTTTTCTTTTTGAGACAGGGTCTCTCTGTTGCAGGTCAGGCTGGCCTTGAGCTCACTTTGTAGCCTAGGCTGGTCTCGAACTTGCAAGGATCCCTCCTGCCTCAGCCTTCAGAGTGCTGGGATTACAGGTGTGAGCCACCACACCCAGCTAAAGAATTTTCCCCCGGGTTCTATAAGTAAGAGATGAGAACAACTTCTAAGATGTTGTTTAAGGAAAACATTCAATGACTGACACAACTTTGGAAAATCCTGGGTGAAATGGCAAGGATACACACTTAGTGGGCAGACAGACCTGGACATAAATCTACTGTGCTCTAAACTCTAGATACATTGGTATTCAAAGTATGGTTCATCAACCTGCACTGCTGACCTTACCTTGTAGCTTATTGGAAATGCAGGCTCTCAGGTCCCAGCCCAACTTTCTAAACTGAAGACTGCATTTTTAGCAAGCTCTGCTGATCATTGTGGAACACATGCAAGTGTGAGAAGCTGTCCTTTAGAGTATGTCTCTTCCATCATCCAAGTGATCCTTCTAGCTGTTTAATTGTCCTTTTCGCTACCTTAATTCATCATGCATGTAGTCAGTGAGGGAAAATGTACCTGCCACGAATAACCTGATATTTAGTAGATAAATCAGGATATTAATGAGGACTGAGTAGTTTCTAAAAGACCATAAAATGTGGTATAACTTAAGGTCAACTTTTTGACTTTAAAGGAGTTGCTAAGTAGTTTGTGTACTTCATTTATGCCTCATAATAATTTGTTGAGGTTGTCCTTGCTCCCATTTTACAGATGACCCAGCACTTCAGAGAGGTAAGTAGCTCACCTAAATTTCTGAATGCCAGGCCTGCTCTCACAGCTATATTTCTTTGATTCCACAACCTTTGTTGACACCTGCCATATTCGCCTTGATGACAAAACAGGTGCTGGAAGACCAGACTAAAGTGGTCATTCATTTGGAAATCACATTCTCTTAAATCTGTTCTCACCGTGACTTCCCTTTCAGACTACATCCGGAGAAGATGTCCGTGACTTTGCCAAGGTACTAAAAAACAAATTTCGAACCAAAAGGTATTTTGCGAAGCATCCCCGAATGGGCTACCTGCCAGTGCAGACTGTCTTAGAGGGGGACAACATGGAAACGTGAGTAGTAGCCAAAGCGAAACAGACTCTCATTTGATGTGTATTTGAACTTCTCTTGGCTGAATATCCTCCTTCACTCCTAAATGCAAACAGTCTCTTCTTTTTCTCTCTTTGGATTCACATTAGCTAAAAAGAGAAAAACGAGCTGATGTTCAATAACCAGTTTTCATGCCTCTTGACAATTATCCTTTCCAAAAGTTAAACTTGATTTCACAGGGAAAAAAAATCCGCATTATATCCACTAATTGCCTCACAAAGCTTTGAAGAAATATGGGACTGTTTACAAATGAGTGATATCAATATTTCATTTTGATTTCCACCCCCCTCACAAATCTGTAGATGTGTGTCTTATTTTATCTATTGTGTGGTTACTTTTTTCTACTTGAGAGAAATTCTAGTCACAGGATATGACTTCACAGTAAGTAGAGATGATTCTCAAGATCAAACTGAACATGTCCTTACCTCTCTAAAACCTTCTCAGTTTTTTTTAATCCATATCTCTGACGGCAAATCACACAACTATTTGTTTTTCTTTTAATTTCATTTTCCACCTTTGTTTGGCTGTTGCTTCCCATGTTTCATACTTGGTTGGTTGGATTTTATTTACTTTGACCTTCAATAATTTCTGTTGCTGCTATTTTGCCTGTGTCTCTCTTCACCACCTCATTTTTTGTTTTGCAGTCCCGTTACTCTGATCAACTTCTGGCCAGTAGATTCTGCGTGAGTACTTTGCTGCAGGGCACTGCTGCCACCCTCACATTTGCTCGCTTGATTTTTAAATTTTTATTTGTTTGTTTTGTTCTGTTTTGTTTAAAGACCCATTGATTTCCTTTCTTTCATTTCAAATTAACTTTTTCTCTTGAAAACTTTGAGAGTCATCCACCACAGATCAGGAGAATCAGAAGAGGTTTTCAGGTTCTTCACTTGGTCAAATTCTCGTCAGCAGAACCCCTAACCTGAGATCAAATTAAAATCAAAGAAATAATTTGGGTTTTGGTTGTTTGCATATTTCTTCAAACACAAGCAAGGACGAGTCTACTGATTATATAATAGCGCTCATTGCATGAATTTCTTGAGATTCAGTGCTTTAGAACCTTCCAAAGGAGTATGGTTTATTCCTTAGCACGTGTTATGAGTAGAGTACTAAAAGTTAGCAGGATCTATTTTAGCATATGGTGTTGTTTGGTTGAATCATTTCAGTGAAATGTGAGAATTTTTTTTGTCAAATTATAGCATGCTGTGTGACTAATTTTTATATACATGGGTTTCTAAGTTTTGAACTAAATTTATTTTGCTCTCCTCTTCAAACTAAATATTTACCTCATAGACAGTTATACATTTAGGCTGGGAGGAAAGTACACTATAGTCTTACTACTGAAGTATGTTAATAATACTAATATTAGATATTAATTGGTGATTAATTTGTCTGAGTTTATAACGTTAGAAAAGACTCTTGGGTCTCGGCATGGTAGTGTATGCCTATAGTTCCTATTATTAGGGAAACTGAGACAGAAGGATCACAAGTTCTAGGCCAGAATGGACCTCTTAGTAAGACATTGTATTATAATTTGAAAATCATTAATCAAATCAAATCTCAGCAAAAAAGGTTAGGTTAGAGTTGTGTCCAGTGCAAAGTCTCTGGATTCAATCCCCAGTACTACAAACAAACAATAACAACAACAACAACAACAAAAACAAAACAGAGTCAGAAATGTCCTATGGTACGTATGATCCATTTATTAGCAAACAGAGTATGCCTGTTTTAAAATTGTGTGTGGGGTTCTTATATCAAATTTTTGGTATTTCGCAGTATGATTTATCAAAATATTTATTTAAAATCATATAGCTCTATCATATATAAAGGCAAAATATCCAGATTAGAAGATGAGCTTATATAAGAATTCAGTTTTTCATTGTTTGTTTTTAATTTTTCCATCAAGTAATTTAAATCCTTTAAAAAAAAAGCATGTAGTGATAAATGCAAACTATTAATTGGGATTTCTTTTGTCTTTATTGGCCTAAAGGAAGTAGAAGGCATTCTTTGCTTTCTTTTTAAAAACTGCATTATTGTGCCCCTTAATTTTGAGATACAGTACGTATTAAGTAGTGAACTGTGTGATTCCTTTAGCCTTTGCTCTTAAACAACTTGGAAAGGTTTTATTTTGTTGCAGTTATTTTGCCTGAATGTTGGTAACTATTTTCCCTATCTTCTATAGTCTATTTATAGAAGTTAGAATCTTTCATAAATAAGAAACGTTAAAAAATGATCCTGTCAAGTTCTTAGCTTGCTAGGTTTCTGGGAACTGAACAGATTAACTCTTTTCTGGCATTCAGCTTAACCAAATAAAAAAATCACAAAGACAAACATGCTAAAGAACAGTTATTAAAATGTATGGCTAATGGCAGCAAAAAAATGAGCAAAAGTAACTAATAGTTCCTTGAAAGAGGCTGCACATAAACTAACAATAAGACAACATCATGACAGTAATTTTAAAGTAATGTATTTTAAGTAGAGGATATTTGTCTAAAACTTTGAAGTACTTAAAAATTTATATTAAAATACCTTTTTAATGGCAAAAACTTACCCCCTATTTGCCTTTTTATGAGAAACTTGTTAGCTATGCAGAAAGAATGAGACGTTCTAATTTTGAGGAAGCAAACAAACTCAGCAAGCTTGTTTTCATTATTATAATTTTATTAAAGTCTTGACTCATAGACTTTTAAATAATATATAAAATCTATTTTAAAGCTATCCTATTCAGATAGAAAAACCAGGTCCTAACATATTTTCGTTTGTAAGCATTCTCTTTGATATCAATAAATATTATGATGGTGACAATATTTAATTCATTTAATATGGACCACTTTTCCTGAGATATTTTATTTTTTTAATAGATGAAGTCGTATTTGCTTGTATTTGTCATAGTACTTCAATGAAATCCAACATGAGCCTTTTACATTGGTTGTCCATAATTGTGGGACAGCCTGACAGTGTTTTTTGAGCTTTGCTACTTTGAAATCTGAACTATAAAAGCTTAAGAGTTGTCACAAAAGGGAGAACGGTGGTGGGTGAGATGCCTTTGGCTGAGTGGGTTATTAATGGTAATAGGAAGTAATCCTTCTTGGAATATGTTTTATATTTAAGAAGTAGAAAGCAGGTACAGTATTATTACCTTTCTTTGGAAGTATTTTTGAAAGCTTTGCACTTAATTTTATTTCTGAACTAAGTGTTTTTTTATTTTACTAATTCTGAATTCTTAAATGATTCTTCTCTGACCAATACTCCCTTTTTGGCTCATTTTCTGATTTAATAAATGCCTTTCGTAGTGTGTATTTTTTAAAATTTGTGATTATTATGAGTTCTTGTGTTTATGCATGCTGTGATAGGTGCTATGTACATTAATAAGAAAAACATGGAATTATTCTTAAGAATAAGAGTTAAAGCTCTGTATATAAAATTTTCTGTAAAATACTGTATTAATGTGCTTTGGATTTACATGCCAAATTTTCTTCGTGTAGTTTTCCTCCAAGGTCTTGCGTTTTTCTTCTCTACCCTACCACAGTAGCAACTGTTATAAGAGAAAACATTACTAACATATTTTCCTTCATGGTGGGCTTTTAGCTTATAAAAATACGTGTTGAAAGATTCATCTCTTCCAGAAGTTAATGCATATAAATAAAACATTCCAGGTATAAATTATCTTTATCTGCAGTGAAGATTTCAAAGCAAACTTTAGAATTTTTCTAATAATGGACTATTCCAGGGTTCTAGAAAATTAGGTAGTTTAACTTTCTAAAAGTACTATGAAGTTTCACATCATAATCTTTGGATCTGTCTGTTAATTGGATAGTCACCCTTTTGTTTTCTCATGATAGTTTTAATCTTTTACATTTCACCTAGACAACATTTGTCCCATAAATAAGACCTTTTATCTCTCAGGAGAGACTTCCAGTTCCCTAATTGTTAGCTAGTATACTGTAATTACTGTACCTTATATCCTAATTAAGAAATATGAATTTCTGGCACGTTTCCTATGTAGACCCAGTTAATAGATAACTACATTGTTTTTAATGTAAGGGGGAAAAAAACATTTTGTTACAGTTCAGCCCAGGTCTTTGAATGCTGCCTAGATGTTAGGCTAAACCAGAGCCCTCACTGATCATGTTGCCCTTGACTTTATGCTTCTTGTGTCAAGAGAAAAATAGAAGAGACCTCTTGTCCTATTCCAGTTAATACAGAAAGCACAGGCCCAAGTTGGTTTTCAGAGCAGATGACCCTCCACCAAGATTTATCCAAAAAATACCAAGAAAACTTCTAAGATAATTAATAGATCAGATTATGAAAGTATAGAAACAGTGTTAACCCTCCCAAAATTTTAGCCTTCAGTACTTAAAGACAGAAAGGTCTAGTTTTAAAAAGCATATGAACTACTCATGCTAATTCTTTCCTCTTGTTTTCCAATCTGTATTAAAGACAATATTATTCCTGATAAGAAAAATTTAAGAATGGCATGGTGGTGCATACCTGTAATCTCAGCCTTTAATCCCAGCACTTGTGAGGCTGAGGCATGAGGACACCAAGTTTAAGGCTAGCTGGGGGTACACCTTGTGTAACACCCCCCTCCGAATAGTTCCAACCTTCTGTTGCACTTAATTACTCTTCTTTAAAACACTTTAATGTGATTTTTGGGTCAAATTAGTGGTATATCCCTGCTTTCAAACTAGTAGAGATAATTTCTTCTATTGAATATTACAAAGATCAAGAAATCATGATACATGGAATCTTAAGGCTTAGACCGAAGCGGCCTCTTTGAAACTGAAAGTATTAACTGTAAATATAACTAGTCAAATGTATAGTTTCCATTGGATAAAAAGATAGCTAATATATATGGAACAAGTATAAACTGTTTAAAGTTTTAAGTCACATAATGTTAACTAACACATTTTCAGTACTATAGGATATGAGAAATGGCAATCTAGGAAGATGAGTGTTACATAGAAGTTGTCTCTCTGATATTTTTTATAATTAAACTATCCAGAGAAGTTTTTGATCTGTCTTTATGGCATATGATGAGACCTATGAGAAATCGTCTTTCAAATCTGGATTTAAAAACACTTGATGCTCTCTAAGATATAGGAACAGTCAAATGTACATGATCCACAGAATTGGAATAAGAACATTCTAGGCCGTGTATATAGCATTAACTGTGTGGTGGGGGTTTCTCCATTAATGGATGGTATCTGTGACTAATCACATTTTCTGCCTTATAGGCCTGCCTCGTCCCCTCAGCTTTCACACGATGATACTCATTCACGCATTGAGCATTATGCTAGCAGGTATGAGACTAGTTGAATGCCAGGCAAATATTGATTGAAATAACTAACCAAGGAAAGCTAACCTATAGTAATTTTAAACAAAACTTTTCTTTCTTCCTCAATCTTGTCTGATTTCTACTAATCAACTTGCCCTCTAACGTGCATGCCATTCCACTGCATGTTGTTTTTGGATACCAGTGAGAGCATTGTTCCAGAACATTCTTACCTAACTCTAGCCTGTATTTAAACATTTCTGGTAGCTTTGTTGTGTTCTGTATATACTGAGCACACTTTTACTAAATTGGCTTACAAGTCATCTACTTTCTTTAGAAAACTGCCAGATTAGACATTAATCTGTGAAGAAATGACACCTTGTTATGCGGAGACTATAAAATCCTCAACTTTCCATTTTTGTGTTTATTTTACATGATATACTCTAGAGAAAATTAACTTTCTTAACTCTTGGACCTTTCTATCCTGCCTTCTTTGTGTTTGAGATCATTTTTATACCTAAAAACTAAATTACCAATTATAAAATATCTTATGCTTGTTAAATAAATGTGAAAGAGTTTGATTAAGTATATTTAGTTGTCAAAAGGCTTATTACCTCAGGTTAAGGAGCTTTTTAAAGATAAAGACTGGCAGCTGAGCATTTAGAGCGCTTTCGGTGAACCCATCTTTTCTCAGTATTCTTTTTTTTTGTACCAGGAATTGAACTCAGGACCTTGCACTTGCCATGCAGGCACTTGTGCCACTGAGATGTATTCCTGGCCCCCTTTCTCAGTATTCTGACTCTAGACATACTTGTCAATTGTGGAAAGCATTAACTAGCTACGTAAGTCTGTCACAGGTGGAAAGCATTGATTTTCTTAAAAGGGTTAGTGTAAGGTATGGGGTGCATTTATTGTTAGGGAAGCTTTTCTTCTGAAAACAAAGACTTGTTCTCAGTAAAATGAAGATCAACATTTGGGGGACAAAAAGCCAGCAATGAAATTCAGTTTCCCTTAGAATTTATATCAGAAATGGAAAGATACTATCTAGCTGTGGTCTACTAAACATTGCTTCAAATGGTTAAGCCAACACACACATCCTTTAATTTGAAGAATTCCTTTCTCCTCTTGCCATGATTTATCCTTTAGTTTTCAGGAATGTTCGATTAGGTCTTGAATAGATTCTAAGAAGTCACATAAGTTTTAATGAGCTTTTACGTTTTTTATCAGGCTAGCAGAAATGGAAAACAGCAATGGATCTTATCTAAATGATAGCATCTCTCCTAATGAGAGCATGTAAGTATCCCATCTCTTTTTACAAAATGTTCCTGACAATGAAATTGCTTGGAGGGATTTAGAGGTAGGGTAGTTCAGGATATAGGAGCTAGCATCACATTCATTTGATCTTTCAACGAGCCATTCATTTACTTTTTTTCTTTAACTCTTAACAGCCTGGCAGAGAATGAGCTCATCCAAATTCAGGCATTATCAGTATTCCAAAGTAGCAAAAACTGATTGATTTGTTCTTATTGAAACTTAATACAATATCATTATAAATTTCAGAACCCCAAACACTTATGTTAAATGCTTAGCTTTTGACCAAACCTGCTGGATATTTATAGGAAGATGATATTAATCTTAAATTAGTAACTAAGATACTTTTTCCACTGATGGGAAGTGGAAATGTGATCTTGGTATATATAGAACTGATATCTCCATATGCTAGGTAGTTGGGTATTTTCCTTCAGAAATCAGTAGTTGATTTGAGTGAGTTAGCATCTATCTCCATAAGGTATGGAAAGCATGGTGGTCTTAAGTCAGGTGCGATGGCGTGCACCTGTAATCCCAGCACTTGGGAGGCTGAGGCAGGAGGATCATTGCAAATCTGAGATCAGCCTGGGATACAAAGTGAGCTTAAGACCAGACACAACTACATAATGAGACCTTGTCTTAAAAAAAATAAATAAGTAAATAACCAAACAACGACAACAACAAACACTGGCAGTTTTGTGAAGAATTTCCAGAGGATAGACTACAAATCCAAGTCTCAGTGTGTGGGATAATAAGCCATCCTGTCAAACTTTAAGGAAGGAAATACAGTGGTGCTAGGAGTGGCAGAGAACATAGTTATGACAGGCGAACAGAGACTTCACGCTAGACACGAGGTACAGTATTCACAGTATGGAGCACATGGTGCATTGGATGAACCATGCAAGTGTTGGTTAGGGTCTGAGGTGGAAAAAATGGGTTATGAAGTAAATACCTGAAGGGAAATAATAAGGATTTGCCTGCCATCTGAGTAAAAAATGAAAAGAGAAGAAATCTAGTCCAAGTACAATGATAGCTTTTAGTTTGATAAGTTCAGAAAGTTTCACCATCTTGGCATGGAGTAGGCAGAAAGAAACATGGTACCTTTATCATGCGTAGTTGATGGTGGGCAACTCAAAATCATGCTCAGATGTGAAAAGAGCCTTCATGAGTAAGCCAAAGGAAATTGTATCACAGTGACACATATAACTAGTTATTGAAGATATGAGAATAATTCTTCTCATCTAATAGCATAATGAGGAACAAAGTGATAATAAAGAATCAAGCTGATACTCAGTCATTTGTGTGTGACTTAGTTACTTCAAACAAACAAAACCCAACCTTTTTCCAATCATGATACACTCGCTTTCTTAGCTATTGGAAAAAGTATTAATGGTATTCACATATACAAGATTTTTTTGAGTGGAAAATATATGACCAAAGAATCGACCAAATGTTGAATAATTGATCTCTTTGGCTCATTGATTTGACCTTAGAAGCTCTGACACATTTAGATTAATTGAAATTGTATCCATGTGACAGTGGCTGCCATTTATTGGCTGCCTAAGAGAATAACAAGAAAAAACTTAATGACAGCTACTTGTTACAATTACAAGTGGGCAATTCTAGCAAGAAAATTTCAGAATTTTGGAATAGGGATAGCAAGTTAGGTGGTAAAGTGCTTCTGTTTTCTTTTTAAACAAAATGTAGCTTTAGCTCATTCTCAAGAAGTTCATGGTATTTAGGGGGCATATTTTAGGAAGTAGTTTGATGGATTAGTTGACTTAATGTTTCTTTTTAATACTCAATAGTTATTTTTAGTTGGCATTTCTACTGGTTATATGGCTCAGTGCGCCAAAAGGATTTAAATCAGGATGACTTTTCCCCTTAAATATCTGATTTATTTTTTTTCAACTTAAAATTAAGTGGTATGAAGGGAAGAATATGAAAGTATCATCTTAATGATATCTAACCACAGAGAGCTTTCATCTGTCAGTAATAGCTGATTATCCAACCTAGATAGCGCACAATTGTAGTTTCTAGCTACTAGGGAACTGGGGCTCGGGAACTACTAGAGCCCAGGAGTTCAAGACCAGCCTGGGTGACATAATCATAATGGGACCCTGCTTGAAGGTGCACAGGCTCTTTAGGAGATTGAAATGATGCCCTCCAAAACTAATTTCTCCTCAGTTTTAGAGGGTTCATAGTTTCCAGGAAAGATTGTATCCGCCTCCCTAAAACACCGACCTTCTGCTTCCCTGCCCCACATTAATCCTTAAGACCTGGTCTGACTAATAAGTTTTTCTGCCTTCTTTTAATTACTCACCTTAGTGCCCCATCTGTTTTGTTAATAATTAAAACAATCATTTATTCACAACTTAATTATTGTACCATCCTGCCTCCATGATTTTTGTAAGTTAATTAGATGACTGTAGCAGCACCTTTTGGTTATGTGCTAGTATTTACTCCATTATTTTAAGTCCCACAGTTTTCTCCTAGTCAGTATTAATAATCGTATGGGATAGTAAACAGGTTATCTTGACAGTCTTGGTTAGCAAAAAGTATTAAATGACCCTTATTATGACTTTAATATTTATTAACTGTTGGCTAAAGTGTCTACATAGCATCCCAGTATATCCATAATTCTATCTTTCATTTATCCATGTAAACAGGCCTGTCAATTCAACTGAATATTTAAGAAACACTTTGAATTGTCATCAGTAGAGTGGTAGATCACAACCTCAATAGTATCTAAATGTCTTTCAAAGCAGGAAGAAGGATCTAATTGTTAAGAGCAAATAAATGTTTCTATTTTCAAATACACGCCTGAGTCCCTGACCCCCAAAGCAAAATAAAGGGGGCAAAAAACCAAAACCTTTGATTTTATTTTCCAGAGATGATGAACATTTGTTAATCCAGCATTACTGCCAAAGTTTGAACCAGGACTCCCCCCTGAGCCAGCCTCGTAGTCCTGCCCAGATCTTGATTTCCTTAGAGAGTGAGGAAAGAGGGGAGCTAGAGAGAATCCTAGCAGATCTTGAGGAAGAAAACAGGTGAGTTTTCTTTCTAGCTTTATCATTGGTAAGCAGAGTGCATACTTTTGCACACATAGCCAAGCGCCAGGAATCTTCACTTGGAGTCATTCTGTGTCGAATTGTTTGATAAAATAATCTGTTTAGCTCCGTTTTCAGATTCTCTTTTTTTTTGTTTTCTGAAAGAAGAAAATGAATGCAGCAATATGGATAAAAACTCATAATTTAGGTGTGAAGGGATTAATATTGATGGGGGTATGTGATTCATTGCATGTGTTTTAGAGGGTTTGATTTTATATTTGAGAATAGAATTTAAGTTAAAAAAGGAGATACTTTAATTTTATGATTATATAATTTTTACATGTTCTGGCCTGTATTACCAAACATTTTTAAGAAAGTAGATTCATCGGCTTGGTCATATTTGGGAACAAATTATTTCATCTTACTGTTCATCATCAAATTCAGAAGTCTTATGTTCAACCATCATAGCAGATTAGGGAGACCCTCATATTGCTAGCCATTGTCTGTAAAAGGTGTTCATGTGAAAGTAGCAGAAATCGTAGAAGAGGACAAAAAATGCTAAGGAAAATTTGCAATGGTGCAGAGAGGACAAAATGATAAAACCCTGGGGGTATTGCGTGGTATCAGAATATTGCAAACCACTAGACTTGTACTTCTATATTGTACTTATTGTATCACAGGTTCCTTGGCTAAGAAAGCAAAGAAATCACATCTAACTCACAGTGTACCTTCTTCAGACAAATGCCACCAGGCAAGTCTTTAAAGAGAAGTTGCTCAAATTCGTTGCACTTAGGAACTTTCATCTCTTTGGTTTAGCCTGAGGCACTAAGACTTCTTAATCATGGCAGCACTCTTGTCCGAATACCAGTGCCCTCAGGGAGGATGTCACCTGAAGATGAAAAAGTATACTGCCATTCATCTGGTCCTTTCTGCTGTCACTAGCTGCCTTCTAGCTCTTAATACCTCAGACCTATGACCCTAGTTCCTTATCTGGTCGGTTTTCCCCTTGGTTTCTTTCCCACCCCTCCGATAAACTCTCCATACTGACTCTAATTGTCCATCTTTGCAGAACCAAGACCTGTCATGACATTCTTTCTTTATTAGATGTCTGTACCTTGCAAAAATAAAATCCAGCTTCTCAACTGGGAGTTCAAACATTGCACAGTTTTCTTTTGACCTCCTTTTACAAATTCATCATCTTTTCTACTCCCTGTGTTCTGGCTATGCTATTGTGGCTACTATATCTAAATACATCCTGATCTCATCTGCTTTCTGGGTCAAGTTCAAGTTTGCTTCTCAGCCTAGCTGCTAGCCCCTAACCCTCTACTGCCATTCTGACAAAGAAGACCTATCCATCTTCCATGACCTTACTTAGAATAACTTTCCCTACAGAACCCTTCTAGAGTGCTGCAATTGGAGGTTAATTTGTCTTTTCCATTTATTACCCGAACTATTTTGGACCTTCTGAGACAACTCCTTAACAGTTTGCCTTTTTTATAGTACGTACCTAGCATAGTTTGAATATTTAATAGATACCCAGGACATGTTTGGTGAAAACCTCAGAATATGGCAAGGATGTCACATGAGTACCGTCTAGGAGGTAATGCAGTACTTTTTTGTTGTTGCTGTTGTTTTAATGAGAACATTAGTTTTGGCACTAATTGTAAGGTTGTTTGGTACTGAAGATCATGGTAGAGAAAACATTTTCCTTCACTTTATTACAAATAATTATTAGAATCCATTCTTGTTAAATCTGTAATTATTAGAGTGGTCAAAATTGAAATTTGAAGAAAATGTTGGAGTTGACATTATAAATAGAATTTGATGTTATACAGAGTCAATATGTGTTTCAATATATGGTTGTTGCCAGTGTGATACAACTTTTTAGCCCAACAGTCAAGATCCGTCTTGTTTGTTAGCACGTGCTCCTTCTATACCATGGCAGCCAGATAAAAAAAAGTCTTGATCGAGAATACTAATAAATAGCATTCATGTATCATTTTATCATCTTCAGGACATGTTGTTTTTTTTTTTTCTTTTGTGGAGGATTGAACCAAGGGCCTTGTGCATGCTAAGCATGTATTCTGCTGCTGAGCCACACTCCCAGCTCTGTATTTTCAGAGCACTTAAATGTATTTTAGGTCATTTAATCTTCCTAAAAGCTCTATAAGAAAGAGCTTGTCTCTTTTCTATAGATCAGAAATTGCAAGCTCAGGGAAGTTCCAGGGGCTTGCCCTAGATTCTGCATTCAGCCAGTGGTAAAACTACATTCACATTCAGATTTTTCCGACTGAAAATAGCCAACTCTACCTTGGACCAGAGAATGAAAAAGTTACTATGTATAGGCATTTAGATAGCATTGGGGTTATTCCCTGGAATGTGTCTTCACTTGAGGGGATAATTGTAAGAAACAAATGTCTCTGAAAAAACCAGTCCATCTGCTTATGGTACAGCCTCTTTACCCTGAAAGATATCCAAGTCATTCTTCAAGAATGGTGTGGTTTGTTCTCTGAAAGAAAGAACAACATTGCACCACAGCTACTAAGAGCTCAGAAATGTAGAATCTGGTCTTGATGCAAGTATTTTTGTGAGTTATTTTGACCTTCAAGAAGTCAGGAGGAGCCACACCTTTCACCCTCGACCTTACCACATTTTCGCCTCCTACCAAATTTTTTAAAAAAGGAAGAAACAAAGAAACAAAGAAATGTCTCCCCAGGGCTCTGCCCTAAAAACAACCTATCTGGTTTTCTTTGTTCTGTCCTTTCCTGTTCTCAAAGAGCTTCAGCACCATTCCTTGCTTCATGATCTTTGAATTCAATGTCACCTAAGAAGCCTTTAATTTGCTATTTCCTGCCCTTCCCCTAAGAAAATCCAGGAAGTCATTAGATGCCCTTTTTCTGTGCCTGCCAAGCTGGCTATCTCCCAAGTCAGAATTAGGCTGTATAAATAACAAACACAAACCTACTGTTAGAGAAAATGGGATTGGCTATTTAGAATTGAGATTGTCACAAGTGTTTTGGATGGGTATTTACTATATCTGTGTAGATTTTGTGTTCTTTTATTCTGCAGTTATGACTTCTCTCCAAATAACAGCAGAGGAGAGAGGTTTGGAGGTCTCCATTCCTGATTGGTTATATTACTGAATTCTGTTAATTATTGTTATTCATGACACCACCTCACCTTCTCCTGGAAAAACAGAAAATAGCCATTTTTGAAGTGTCCCAGGGGCATCTTATCTCTGTCATTAGAATTTCTTTTCTCCCAATTGTTGCACATAGCTTTCAATAAATATTTGTTGAGTGAATTAATGAATAATGAAGCTGAATCTATTTTATTTGTAGCACATTTGCATGCACTTCTGATGAAAATTGTTTTACAAACCTAATTGCCTAGAGAAAAGCCTTTCATCATCTTTTTTTTCCTGCTCACTTTTAAGAATACTTCTTTTTCAGGTGGCCTTGATTAGCATCAACATTGCTTTGTCATAAATTTAAAATGTTAAAAATTTATTATCCAAATCCAAGGTGCTGTATATCTCTTACAGTTATTCTGTGATTCTTAGTTTATGCCACAGAGTTAAGATTAAAGCTTTGAGAAAAAGCTAAATTTGACTTTTTTAGACTCATAAGTTTGGCAACTAGTAATATTACCAAAATATGTAGTCTTAAATGTTTCATTTCAGCATAATGTCTCCCACTCATTATTACTGATAATTCACATTCATTTTTGATACAAACCAGTTGGATGTTGGAAATTTGCCCCATCCTGTGTCCTTAGCATTGCAAGTTTATTTTCCTGTGTAGATTAAATTCTACAATCTTTGGATTTAAATCTGTAGCATTTAAATTCTTGTGTATTTTTTTATACTGTCTAAATGAACCAAGGCTTGTTCTGAAATCCAAGGTATGATTGTAGCAATGAAAAAGTACCCTTTATAAGAGACAGTGATTCACTGTCATTCCACTACCTCCATAGCAAATTGATTAGATTGTTCCCAAATCTAAAAGGTAGGTAAATACCAACCTGATTCTTTATTTATTTATTTATTTTTTTTTTTTTTGGTACCTGGACTTGAACTGAAGATCTCGTACTTGCCAAGCAGGCACTGTGAGGCTAAGCTATATTCTAAGCCCACCAACCTGATTCTTCATGATGTCTAAAGTTAATGAAAGTAGATGTCATATGACAACAGGGGAGCAATGTAGATTCTTAATACTTATTCAGTACTTTTCAAATACCTTGTTGGGTGATCAGACCTTATACAGTATACGTTTGAGATTTCTCCGGCTTTCTCATTCTTGTAGTTACACAGGACCCTGTTCTAGAAGTACTTGCTCTTTATAGACTCAAGAATCTTTATAACATCCTCTTCCTTTGGTCCGTGTGTGAGCCTGTGGTAATGGTGAGAAAATGGCTAAGAAGAAGGAAGACAGGAGTGGGCATTCCCAGTCAGGGATAGATATAAACCAAGGTATCAGAGAGGAATAGCAGAATATATTTGGGGAAATTGTAGTCATACCATACTTTTTAGCAAGGAAAATGGGAAGAGATGAGGCAGACCAGGTAGATGAGGGCCTGTTGAGAAGGATGTGGCACAGCACTGAGGAATTTGTGCCTACTGACATAAGTTAGAGAGCCTCTCCTGATTGCCATGTAGGAGTGTGGCCCTTAGATTTGCTCCTGTGCCCATCCTTCTTTTTTTCCATGTGACCTACACCCATACACTGAAATGTGTATAGCTGTGTGGGACTGACTTTGAAAAACAACATACTGGGACCAACTTCATAGGTATTTTGGGAGCCCAGGAAAGAGGTGATGGCGATTTTAAGTAAGATAATAGGAGGGGCAGGCTGCATCTGAGTGGTATTTTTAGAGGGAAATAATGCTGTTTGAATTGGTGGTCTGGTGGGTCTAGAGGAGAAGGGAATGCTTCCCAGGTCTGGTAAGTGCATGGCAAGATGTAGCTCTTTGCACCTGGGCCTGACAGTGGATGAACCATG